GTTCTCAGAGCTCTGCCCACAGCTCAATCGTTCATTATCTCCATCGGCGCCCTCAGTATAAGATCTTAAAAACATTCCGCTTCCAGACTTGATTGCTGCTGAGTGTTCTTCATCCATTACAAAGAACCACTTCAGCCCCTCAGGGACTTGCATATAAATAGATATTAAGGCTTCTTGCTTTTTTTAGGCTGGGAGTAGCTTGATGGATCCATCTTGTTCTTAATTCCCAATTTCTCTGCAACTCCCGAGCCGGGTGCTAGCAACAAACACACTCGTGTGTGCTCTGCTCTCCAGCAGCCCACCCACAAACCTCTTGTGTATGGCACGCTCCCAAACTGATGTCTGCCTTTCAGCCAAATCTCACCACTGTTTTTGTTCCCACATTTATGAGGCACATACTGTGTGGAAGCGGAGGAGGTGGGATTATAGGAAAACTTTAGGCATCTATGTATACTTCCAGAATGTGTGAGAGCCTTTCCTGAACGTGCAGCCGCTCCGGGCCCCTTTCCCCACTGACCTTAGAAGAGCCAGTGTCAGTCACTCTTTTAGGAGTCTTTGGGAAGTTTTTTCTTGTTTATTCTGCTGAGCCACATTTTACGGGAATGTTCTATTGAGCATGTAGATGTCACAGATCTGTACGTACCGAGATTTTTCAGATTAACTACCAGCGTGGCCCTTTATTTATTCTCTTTGAGTCCCCAAGTCTGTGAACACAAGGTCCACTATTTCTCAGCCTCCGAATCCCCCAGCTGTTTCCCTAACAAACACTGAAGCTGCTTGGAAGACGCGTTACTACTCAAGGTAGGCAGAGGAACACCTGCCTATCCCCGTGACCTTCGTGGGCAGGGGAGGGTTTGTCAGTGGTATTTACAAGGCCAGCTCAGGTGGGCTTCCTCATTCCCCTTCTGGAATGTGAGACGTTTTAAAGGCTCAGTAGATATTTTCAGAGTGGCACTCACTCTCCAGTAGATGATTCAGGAAGCTGGCGAATCTGGAGGGCAAACTTTATAGAAGGTTTTTATTTTTTATTTTTTTCCTGGCTTGTTTTGTATCTTGTCCTCACCTGTCTGGCTTAGGAAAGTTTATTAGGATTTCATCAGCTTAGGGAAGGCACGAGTGTGTATACCTAGTATCATATGTGCTTCATTCTTTCTGGGTGCAAAGGAGTGGGGTAGCAAGTGTGGACTTAGCACAGCCCTTTAGGTGTTGGGGACATTGTGACGGTGGGGTGGTGATGGAGAAAACTTGAGACACGAGTGCCTAGATGTGATCCTATCGACACTCCAAGACATAAACCTCGATCTTTTAGCCCACGGGCTGGGAACTTTTTCTCCTTGGGGTCATAAATCTTAATCAGTGCTGTTTTGTTGAAAGGTGCCCCTGCAGCATACCTCAAAAAGTCTGCTTCCTTATCTCAAAGTTCTGCGGGAACCGCCTTGTTGCCACTAGATGGCGATCATGTGCCAGTTCAACGGGGCACGGACAACACCATCATTCACAGCCACCTTTAATTCAGATCTTGTCCTGTCCTCCCTTTAATTGAGCTCCAACTCTAAACCAGGCCCTCGTGTCACGGGCTGGAGAGACAGAAAAAAAGACTTGATCCCTGTCCTCAAGAGCTCCACAGTATAGCGTTCATAACACAATAACTTAATGCTAGTTTGTCACGCCACCAGGGCAATAATACAGTTTTTAAAAAAATATTTGATTCTTTTCTTGTGTATTTTGCGTTTCACAAATAACAGGAATATATTGTAAAAAGTCAACCGATCTCAGAATAAATAAAAGAAAATGGAAGACCCTCTTTAATTTTTCCCCACGTCCTATTCTTCCTGAGCACCCCTCCTTAGTTCTTCCTCTTCCCTGGGGATAACAACTGTTAGCAGTTTGGTGAGTATCATCCTAGAAAAATTTCCAC